AAAGCTTCAAAGGATTGAATATCGTTACCTATGAAATTACTAAGTATGAAACCTACAAAAGTTGAGTCAGAACAAATCCCTCCTGGACCTCCTCGAGTGTCTGCCACATAAGCCAAACCAATATGAGCAGAATCAGCGAAAGACTGAGCAGTAAGCAGATGAACCAAACAAAATGAAGGAGAACCCTCCTCACGAGTGAATGCCTGCAATGACAGGTACCATGACGAAGTAAAACAATGGACAGATAATCTTTTATTCAAGCTAGGGTTGGGTAAAAGTGAATCTGTCGTGCCCAAGACATAGCAGGACGGAGACCAATAGCCTATGTTTGATGAGAGAAGGAAAGTGATGCTAAGGAAGGTGAAAAACAAGTTCCGGCCCTTCTTCGAATTGAAAATTGCAGTCCGTGACCGCAACGGAGCGCTCGCAACTCTGCTAAGAAACGCTTGAAAGACGGACATGCCTCTATTCAATCGCTTCAAGTAGTTGCAGCCAATTAAAATATTTGACATGCCAAATTCATGATGAACTCCCAACAATGCAAGGCCCAGAAGAACTTAATGTGTAATCATTTCCCGTTACAATGACAAAGGTATAAAACAAGTAAGGAAAAAGTGTTGTTGACTTCGACATACCTCTAAGAGGCGATTGGAATTCCATACACCATTATTTATCAGATCACGAGAATTGTAATGCCCTGGTTGATTGGAAGGTTTGTCTAAGATCTTCAGCTCTTTGATTGAGAAGCCCATATTAACGAACCTGTCAACAAATGATAAGCAAACTAACATTTCTTAAGAAATTCTAAACTCTTACTACGGACCTGCCTCTTTCCAGTTCTGTTTCTTCCTGGCCTTCATCCCAATTCACAACAGTGTAAATCTCATTCACCCTGGCAACCATATTTACCTGAACATTATTATCTTCCATACAACAAGTAATTACTGAAAACACTTTGAACATACAATGTAACGTGTTGTGAGAGCTGTGTTGTTCTTCCCTACAATCGAGAAAAATTTGTAATCAGCAACAATTTTCAGTGGACATCGATTTCGAACTTCGTTTTCCGTCGGAATCACTTGTCTCCGTCTACGAACTGTCGGCTCGACTGCCGTGGTTGGGAGAAAGTCCTGGAACAGGACGAAACTCGTTTAAAGAAGAAAACAGTATTCTGCTCAAAGGCTGGAAACGCATTGCCATGCTGGTGTTGCAGCGTTTTCTAAAGCAAATTCGCACAAACATAACCTGCAAAACGAAAACAAAGACATGACAGGAAGAGATAAACATGATTTTTGAGGAAAAAAAAACATGAATTTTACAAAACAAACAATGGAGCTTATATACTCATAGACCTTGCTCAACCGATTACTAAGTAAATTTTGCATATTCACGGAACAATGAGCTAACTTTCATTAATTTGTCTTGTATTCAATGCGTTGCCAACCCCTTAAAGGCAACAACTATTCAAATGTTCCACTACATTTGCGATACAGCAACCAAACTCATCTCTTAGGCTAAGTTCACAGATCTCGATAGCGTGGAAAGTGTGGAGTGCGGAACGCGCTATAGAGTTAAAATACGTATGAAATCGCTTGTTCTGCGCATTCCAGGTATTCTACACCAGTGCGAACAATAAAGGCTCCTAACAAAGAATTGATGATTGGGCATGGACGCATCAAAAACAGAATTGCTGTTGTGATAAGATGCTGACGAATAAAGAATAAAAAACAACAATAAAAATAGAACAAAGAGTCTCACCTGCACTGGAGCTAATGAACCTCGTTCATTCAAACTACGAAAAATACTGGTCCCGTCCAAGCTGCTCGAGCGGAACACGAGCACGTCCCTGAAGCACATGTGGTTTCTGTGACAATCATTAATGTGGTTAAGCCGTCATCAGAAACACATATAATAACATACATAACTTCGTATAGCATACATTATAGTCAACACCTGCACCTGAAGGCTCGCTCTGGGACTGATTCGACTCGATGAAAGTAGCACTTTCTTCAAGCCGTTTTCATATTCCAAACATTGCGAATACCGTTTCGCTAGGCAAGCCCATACACACCACAATAACTTCGAGCTCCCTCACTCAAATTCACCGCGACCAACACAAATAACGCGTCCATGCTAAGGATTCCTTCACAAGCCAGGCAAATGAAAAGCAGTAAGATATGAGCAAAAGGCCATAATATCATCAAACACCTTCATGCAAGTATTATGAGAAGTAAGCGCTAAAGAACTGCGACGGCGCAATGTGGCTCGGGCGGGGGGGGCACTCTGAGAAAAGTCATCTAGGACTAAGCCTAAACAGCAGGGACGAACTCCGGAGAATACGAAAATTGCTTCCGTACACCGGAGTTCCTCTCCTCTTCAAAAGCTTAGTCCTAAAACGGAGCGTTTCCGTGATTTTGACGCGATGTTGCGAGGTGGCCCCCCGAGCCACATTGCGCCGAACTGCACATTTCAGAGAGTTGTGCGGAAGTATTACCGGACCGGAAATCACTGAGCGCCACGGATTCTTCGCTTTGCATTGAAGGACACGAACATGCCGCGTACCGCGTCCCCCTTACAAGTGAACCAATACCCCGAAAGCTCTTATGGTCCTCCAATAACGAAAGGACCGCGAGGTGTGATACTCCCCATCCGTGCTGCTCGTCTTACCTACTCACATATGGGAAATCATAGCAGTGAAATACTCTAGAAAGCCTCTTTCAAATTGATTCCTTAATCAAAACGAGCAGACAGAGACAGCAACTGGCATATATTGCCACAGAACGCGGAGACTTTCCGCGAATTAGGGTTACATGTTATGTGTAAATAGTCACCTTCGAGGTATCCGTAATAGTGACCAGTCGGATCAAGTGGTACTGGCATATCATCGCTTATCCTAATTCGAGCATATGGATCAAAAATATCAGTACCCGGATTCAATACAGCAACGTATAAACGCCCTTAAATAAACACACGCTTACATTCAACGAAAATGTCAATCAAGAGCTGTTACGAAAAGAAAAATCTTAACAGTACCAAATGCTGTAAAGGAAATACGACGAACTACATCCTCGTTCGTGTCTGGCACCTCATGGATGCGCACTACTTCATAGTCACCAACTCTCTGTTGAAGCGAATCGCCTGAACACAGGAATTCATCACATACCAATCAATACGGTTGCCAGCAAATTCCAAAAAACCACACTCACCACCATTAAGCGCACTGGAATAGCTCAGAGAACTAATAAATACCCCTACATATATGACAAGATGGGCCATATGCTCATGAATAAGCAAAGCATTCCATTGAATTTCGAAAGCAGCCAGAGAGCAGCATCGGTGGCGGACGTTGCGGAAAACTTTCTAGGATAATTTCTGTAATTGCGTACTGCGTGCAATTATCGTATCCTCTCCTTACACTTGTGTCCATTGGTCGGGCTAACCGTTCCGCATGATCGTGTCATGGGACTTGGAAAGATAATGCAGAGGGTGATGTGAGTGCGGAAATGAAGAATGAGGAAGTGATGGAAGAGAGTGATAAATGTTAGATGAAGAGGATGTATAAAAGGGGAATGTTGTGGACAATGAATCATTCCTACCCCTCGTCTTCCGTGCACACACGTTAATTGGCGATCAGGCGAACAGGATGGCGGTAGTGGAGGCCACTCAGGGAGGCTGCAAGAAAGAAGAAGGAGGCAGAATCACGATGGCTGACTCCGGTGCCGAAGTGTATGGGGGTCGTGCCCCGGCATGTCCCGGGCACATCGTGGCGAACCTGGTGGAAGCTGCTCGTCAATTTCCTCGTTTTGAGGAAGGTGATTTCCTCGTTTTGAGGAAGGTGACGGAAGAAAGGGACCAGCGGCTGATATTCCTGCAGGAAGTGGGTAACTCGAATTACGAGTTACTGGAATCACTCCTGCAGGGACGCGAATTGGAAGAAGAGGCGCTGAAGGATCTCGATCGGCTATGGAGCAGCGTTACCAGCCGGAAAAGCTATTGGCGGAGCGGTTTGGCCTGATGTCGGAGACCCAGGGACAGGCGCTGTTTGAATTTTATGCGGAGCTGCAAAAAGCAGCGAATATATGCTCACTTGAGCATATCAAAGAATACCGAGATGCCATAGTGACGATGGTTTTTATAGGTGGGTTGCTTTCGATAGAGACGAGAAAGCGCCTTTTAGAGAAGGAGCAGTTGTCCTCGAGGGAGGCTTTAGAGCAGGCGGAAGCCTTCGAACGTGTAAAAGTGAATGCTCCCCACTTGAAGGAAGGCCAACAGGCTCAAACGTAGGAGTGCCCCAAGTGAGAGCCAGGAGAGATGAGGTAACCGGCAGATGGCATGGCGTACACAGGCTAGAGAACAAAAAGGTAGGCCGAGCAAGGACCCAGCTCGGAAAAATGTGAATTGTAGGATTTGTGGATTGCTAGGCCACGCCGGTTACGAATGTTTCAGGAAACAGACGACATACTGTAATGGATGCAAGAAGAAGGGCCACCTAGCAGTGACGTGTTGGAAAGGCGCTAGAGCAGGCCGAAAAGTCTCCCGCCAGGTCCACTGGTTTGAAAAGTCCGCCGGTAGCTCCGACAGTGGTGAGGATTTAGTAAGTCAAAACGTGAACATGGTAACGATATCGAGGCTCACACACTATCGTAGAGCTGAACGTGGAAAGCCGTTGCGGAGTAAAATATGCAGAATAGAAGACGGCCACGAAGGTGAGGACGACAGTCCTACTACTGCACGAAGGGGCATTCACAATGAAAATGAGATAGGCCTGGGTAAGCAAATGATAGCCGCTGATACGGTCGAAGATGCAGTGAAAGGCCGGTCGTCGAGCGAGTTGCCGAGAATGCTGGAGATGGAAATCATTGGGAGGAAAATTCCCTTTGAGCTAGATACCTGTGCATCTCTGTCGATAATCGACGAGAAAGCATGGCGCAAGCTAGGCCATCGCAGTTGAGAAAGGCGGAAGTAGCGGCAACAGCATTCAATAATAACTGCATAAGGTTCCAGGGGAAAATTCCACTTCATGTAAAGTTCGCCGGGGGAGGATTCCAGCGGAGGCTTTCATTACTAGTGGACCATTTGCATGTATATGTACTTACTTAGGATACTTAGGCGACCCGTCCATCGCATGGCGATTGGCCTTGCGCGGGTCCCAACTTCTTTCCATTGTTCTCGATCTTGAGCCTTAGTTGTCCAGTGAATGATCACCTTAAGGGACACAGGATCATATACGTTGTTACGATATGCCAGAGAGTCTGTCCAACGTACAGGAGGACGGCCAGGCGGTCGTTTCTTTCGCGCGGGTACCATGTGCAGTAGTAGAGCTCCATCGTCCATCATTTCTTCTCATCAAATGCCCAGCAAATCTGTGCTTCGCTTCATCGACGTGGAGGAGGAACGTCTTTGACCTTGACATAGCTCTGACATCAGAGTTATGGAGCTGTAATTCTCGCTGTCGACTCAACGTTAGGCCCACAAGACGACGCTCGATTGATGCTTGAGTGGACTTCAATTGCCTTTCTATCGATTTCGTCAGAGCCCAGGTCTCTCCTCCATAACTGAGGGCAGGTAGTACCGTTGAGGTTGAAGAGTTCTGCTCGTAAATTGCGATCTTTAGTATTTTCAGCAACGCTTCTTATGAAATTGGAAGCAGATTATCCAGCCTTGCGACGTCTGAGTACCTCTCTAGTCAAGTCATTCATCATATTTAGCTGGCTACCGAGGTATACGTATTCGTTGACTTCTTCGATTGGGCTTGCTCTCAGAAAAACAGGTATGTTGTCTGAAAATCGGTTTCGCATCACCTTCGTTTTTGAAATGTTTATGACTAGACCGCATTGACTTCCTTTCTTATCAAGAAGATGTAGCATTTCAGAGGCATGTCTCGGAGATTCTGTGATCAACACGATGTCGTCGGCGAATCGGAGGTGGTTGAGGCGCACACCATCAATGTTGATACCGAAGTTGCTCCAATCACAGCGGCGCATGACGGACTCTAGACAAGCAGAGAACAGATTGGGTGATATTGGATCTCCCTGTCGTACACCTTTTCGACTGCCACGACTACGTCGTTGAAGAAAGGGTGGAATGCTGTTGTGCAATGAGAATAGCATTCCCGTAGCACATCCACATATACTATTGTTCGTCACCTTGGCGCGCCTTTCCAGAACTTTGCCGGTTCTACAGAATCGAACGCCTTCTTGTAGTCTATGAAGGTCAGCACGAGAGGCAGATGATGTTCACGGGATACCTCGATTAGACGTCGGCAAGTTGCGATGTGGTCGAGCGTACTGAAGTTTCGACGGAAACCTGCCTGCTCGACCGGCTGAGCTTCTCCTACAGGGTGCGCCAAAATTACGGAGACAGCGATTTCGAGTCGCCTAGAATGAACACGCCACAATTCCAGGAAGCCAAAAATGCAGTAACGTTCACTGTTCAATAATGAATCGTAAACATCTGCCAAATCTCAGAAATTCCTTCGTTGGCACTTATACGGGCCTTGAGAAGCAGTGAGGAACCATCGGCGGTGGCACGCAAGGTAGTGCGTAGAATCCGTTCTACGTATTCTGAAGCAATTCTTCAAAATAATCCCCAAAAATGTAAAGTTCCATGCAAGTTTCAGCTTGCAGAATCAATTCTACAGTGTAAGCCATTTATATAGAATCTGAAATGCTGACCAACTCGTTGAAAGTGATGAATTCGACAAAATTGGCTCTGACCCAGTTCAGCACCACCCTTGCCTTATGGAAATCCCTTCCTTATGAAAGATCAAACAATGTTTTTTAAATCTTAAGATGGCAATTTGCTTGGGAATTCTCAAGTAATCTCCTTAATGTCCATCTCTCGTGACATTCGGCGGAACGAGTGCGCGAAGTGCCACCAAATTCTGTTGCGCACCATGCTGACATTGCTCGTGGCCGTCTCGGAAACACAGCCTTCCCATCCAGAATGAGTGCATTCGGTTCCTTACTCCTTGGAGCGTTTAGTGGATCCATGATTGGTACCCAGATAAAAACCAAAACGCTGATAATTCTTGCGTGCCGGAAACTCTCAAAGTTGAAGTTCAGTGATCTAGAAATAGCGGCAGAATCACTCAGCCATCGTAACAATCATACATATTGGTGGTCAAATAAGATAATTATGAACAGGTCAACACAACAAAACCAAAATGAGCGCAGCAGTAAACAGCATCTTTGAATAGTGGTTCAAATAGTGCGCGGAAGTGCTGTCTCCGTAATTTTGGCGCACCCTGTAATACTCTTCGAATGCGTGCCAAAATACAGTGAGTGAATACTTTGTAAAACACAGGCAACAGAGACATTTGAAGTCACATCAACATGACCCAAAATGAAAGCTGTAAAGGAAGATCACATCTAACAATTGATCTTTGTATATGATGTTGTACTTGTTTACTTGATCGCCCTCCCGCACGATCACACCTTGTTTGGCGCCCTCAGTAGCACTATATAAGTAGCAGTTGTTAGTTAGTAGTTCGTTACGTCTATCACTACGCCCAGCAGTTATTCTACTAGTTCGTTTCTAGCTACTGAAGCAGCGCCCTACCAAGTAATATTGTACCGGCACGCCAACGGAAAACAATAAATTGTGAGTTTAGCCTTAGTTGTACTACCACAGTTTCATCCACAAACACACGGGAGCACTAAAGCTCCATATTACATGGGGCCGAACCGATTTGGCTCGGTCAATAAGGTAGGTTTAAGGCAGTAAGAAACCGGGGAGTCCCCAGGTTTCTGAATAGCCTTTAGCGAGCCGTATGGTCGTTGACAGAGCGGCGGGCTTGACAAAGCTGCTAGACGGGCAGCCCCTGCAGATTGTGCTGTGCAAAACCTGCCAGTACAACCTGTGTGACAGAGGAAAACGATTTTTGCAAGGCAGACCGCTGCGCAAAAAAAGCTGTTTTCATTGCAATTAATTGCTGAAATCGCAGCTCCAGTCGTGACGCTCAGAGGATAACAATCGATACCGATAAGGTAATATCGAATCAGTATCGAATTATTAGTCTGAACCAAATCTTCTGCTGAGCTGAAACGAGACTTGTTGCAGAGCGAAACAATGGCAGACGATGTGGAGAGAGAATTGGATAGGTTGCTGGAGCAAGACGTTGCGCGGGACACCAAAATGGACGAGGTGCAGCAAGAACTGGCGCAACTCAGAGCACAAGTCCTGCGCTTAACGCAACAGAACCAGCAGCAGGTACGGTCTACAGTTTCGCAGTGCGCGGCAAGGCTGACGAAACTGCAAGAGACGCCGAAAAGCATAGCAGCCATGTTATGGTGTTGGGGAAACCACCTCACCGGAGGATCTGGAAAGGGAGCTCCACAGGTTGCTAGAGCCTGAGTGTAAGGCGATACGGAAGTCGCTGGATCCTCATAAGATGAGTTAGCAGACAGGGTTTTGCAAGAAGGCGTCAGAATCACACGCGAAACACATTGAAGAGCTGGGAAATATTTTCGAACAGGCACAGCATGATGACAAATGCATGCGCACGCTATCGAAAATGCTGAACGTTAAGTCCACAGAGGTGGTTAGAGCAGTAGGTAATCTGATCGAACCGAAGCAAACAGCCGGTATCGAACAAGTCCCTATAACTAGTCGAAAGCTCTTGCCATCTAAGACACCCCTGCTCTTCGACATCCCCAAGGCCGCACAAACATACCTTTTGCTGGCTCCTACGAGGTCCGCGGAGAGCGCGACTCCCATGGGGACAGATCACAGCGAGTCGCAGCAGAACGAGTTCCGCAGAGCATTTCGTCTACTCAATGCGAACGACATATCACCAGATGCGGCACCACC